CCCCAAAACCCCAAAACCCCAAAACCCCTAGATCCAGAGATCGGTCAATTCTCTAATGTATATGAATTGTTAATGATTTAGTAAAGCAAATAATATTTAATCTTATCACTTGTATCAATAGGTCTTTTATGTAATTAAGATATTTTATTCTAAGCCATGTTTCAGGTCATCTCTTTTTCTTTCTACCTTTTTTAGTTTCTTTTTCTTTTTCGAAAGGATTTTTAAGTAATAAATCTCCGAGATTTGGGTAATTTATCTATTTAGAGGGCATGCTACTACTCCTAATTCCAAAGTCATTTACTTCCTCTTCAGCTCTCTCATTAGAATACTAAATAGCCCTTTAAAGAATGTTAATTCCAAGAGGGACGTCATTTTTAGATAGTTCTTTCTTTATTGACTCTATCTCCTAGAGCTCTTCTAATCTCTTTTCATTTTGCTTAGCCAAAAGTTTAAAGTTATAATTAATACTTGGTAATCTAGATATATTGACTTTTCTACGAATGTTACTCAGTGGTCTAGTAAAGCAACTCATAGTAATGACATCATTTGACGCATTAGTATTTAGAACTGCAGAGTCAAGATTCATTTTATCTTAGTTAATCATTGGATAAAAGGTATTAAGTTGAGAATTGTTAAGCATATCATCAACTTGGAGAGATGATCCAGTAAAATCATCAATCTTACTGATATTACCTTAATTTTTAAAGATCACATTTGTCCTGTTCATTCTTATCTTATGAACATGATTAGATTCTATATTTTTAACTTATTATTAAGAGTAGTTAAGTTATTTTCTAAGCTAATCCACTGTAATTGGAGGAGGGGGGAGTTTCATATTTTCAAGTTCAGGAGGGAGTTTGATGGGTTTAGCTGGTTGTATATTAGTCTCCTTTTTTGGTGAGTTGAATAAATCGGGATAGTTGTCAATTTCATCTTTTGTCAGGTCTATAATCTTCTTTGGCTTGATGCTTGCTTTGAATTAATTGTTAAGCAGTGATTTCTGCTGTTAACTTATCTAAACCTCTGATACTTCTTCACTAGAAACATCACTTCTTAAATCTTAATCATTTTCGATATCTAAGAATCTGTTATCAAAGAGAGTATCTTGAAAAACAGATCCACCCCCAGTAATTTGCTAAGTCTCAATGCGTTATTCCTTATTTTTATTTTCTTTTTAATGATTCATTGTAGTCTAAGCATAAGATCTTAAAGAAACTCCCAAGTTTTAAAAATTTGAATTGTCTAATAATTCATTTTTATAGCACTTCAAACTCTATCTGAGTCTTTTTTAATTTTACCAATCAAAAAGAGTGTTCTTAATCTACTATTACATCCTAGCTCTAGAAATTGAATCGGTTGTAGATTCACTGATCATTTTATTTAATTAATTAAGATAGTCTTAGGTCCCAAACTGATATTCACTTAGCATAAAAGATTATGTTTTGTTTAGCAAGTCTACTTTTTTCTTAACTATGGAAAATGCTTGCTAAATTTATGGAGTTTGATTCTCTTCACGCTTTTTAGACATACTAAGTCTTGACCCAGAAGGTGATTGGCCAAGTACAAGTGACTCCTGACTTTAATCTCTTACAGCTGATTTCTAAATATCTTTGCTGTTTATAAATTGCCTTTAGGCGGCATTCTTTTTGGGAGTAGTGAATTCCTTTGCAATATGAGTCCCTAATACTTTCATAATGCTATTTCTGGGAGATTTTGAGGAATTTTCTGTGTTGTTTGCTTTTTCCTTTACATGTCTATTTTACTGATAGAGTGGAGGCTTAGTTCTGAAATTAATAACTTCTAAGTTCTGTTAGAACCATTTATCAACTTATTAAATCTACCTCTCTTAAAGATGTTTGTCATCTGTAATAGCAGCAGTCGATAGCATGTCATTAAGACAGTTAAACAAAGTAATCTTTTACTCATTTACTTGACTATCGTTATTCATGTATAAATTAAGACTCGTTTTCAATTTCTTTGCAGTTTCCGAAGCATCATCAAGATAATTTATTCTGTAGTTTGGCTTCTTCCTTATTGGTGTCTAGAATTTTACAGGCATTCAATTGTTAAAGGATCAAGACATTTGATGAGTAGTAGTATGAGGCTTAGTGTTCAATTAGGGGTTTCCAAATCCTTATATAAATAGAGAATTTTTTTACTAGTTATCCATTTAATTTTATTTCTCAAATTTATTTCTCATTTTTATTTTAAGATTATCATTTTGATGGGGGTTTTGGGGTTTTGGGGTTTTGGGG